GTAAAACAAAAACAATAAAAAAAAGGAATTGTATAAAAAAGAACATAAAAGAACCTTTAAGAGCGTAGGGTAACAATGCGTGTGTTATATTTTATTTCAACTACATATACAAATTTTTGATGTTCGAACATTTATCTTTTTCTAAACTATTCCATTTCCTTGGATAAACGGAAATTATTAAAACCCTCTGAGCGGTAAGGGCTTTCACTAAGAAAGTTCAAATTTTCGAAAACTGGCATGAGAAAGAGGTATTTTCTTGATTTTAATGCCAAATGCCTTTGGTACTTCATTTATGTATTTTTAATACGTTACCCTAATTTCTAGGATATATTTCATGGTGCATGTACACGTTCTTGTAGAACTGTAAACATATGTTACGGTGAAACACCGAAATCTGGAGAATGTCGACTTTCACCGGTGAATGTCAACATTCACATAGTCGCTTGGTGCATGTCCGAAATATTTTCCAAATACTCTTATTTCTGACTTACACCGTTGAATGTCGACATTCACCATGTGCTAATGGTGATTGTTGAACATATAAGAATATTATATTTTCTTCTCCGTAATTCAGTCTCGAAAAAACGCACTTGAGGCTTAAAACGAGAACTTAAGAACATAAGAACTTAAAACACACAATACATTCAAAATGAGAAAGGAAAAAAATAGAAGTTTAAACTTACCAAATTCTGTGATTCAAATCTTATTTATTGCAAGCAACAACTTAAACTATTATGACGACACTTTGAATTGCACAAGAGGCCCTTGCTTTTACAACTGCATTTATTTGTGGAACACTTCCTTTTGGAATGGCAGCGTGTACATATACTTCTCTCTTTTCGACCTACTCCAGAGCATATCTGTGATTGTCGACATGCACCGGTGAGGGTCCGAATGTACAAGAATATAAAGAAATATTCGATCTTTCACCGACGCATTTGGTGAATGTTGACATTCTCTGGTGAAAGTCGACATTCTCCAATTTTGGTCTTTCACGGTAACATATACACGTTCTTACAGACATCACAAAAAATATTCTAGAACGTATATAATATGGCCTTTATACGGTATATAATTCAACATTTTGTATTGAAAGTTGTTAACAACCATTTATTCGCATTTTCGCCCAAGTATACTCCTGGAGGCAATTCTCTTCAAACAGATCTAAATATCCAAAATCTGCGTCATCAATAAAAATTAGTAAACGCAGAAATCATTTATTTATGCCTCAAATTTTAAACGTGTAAAGATGTATGCACGCTTTAGTATGGCAGAATACTCACAGAAGTGCGAATTAACCCCACTATAATTGTATACGTTCAAGGTTTACGCAAACGACCGGTGCATTTTGTCACTTATTGCCCGATAAAATTAGTGGGGTTAAAAAAAAACCCCACGATTGATTGAGATTAGTCACAAAAGTAACACATTTAATAAATAATTAATGTTATTTTAATGAAAAATAAATAAGATCAAGGATTGGACATTAAAAATTACTTTAATTTCAGAGAAAGGTTTTCATATAATAAGAAATTTTTAATAGACTCGTTGAATGGAAAAGGAATTAAAAAACACAAAATTGAATTATTTTTGAATGTTCTTTCTTTCCTTAAATTTGCAAGATAATTAAAAATTGAATGGTACAAATATCTCATGGAAAAATCTCTCTCATATCTTTATTCCTTATGAATATGTCTTTATTTCTGATGGTTTTCATCTAGAGTAATTTTGTTTCATTTGCAAATAGACGATAATTCATTACGAAATGTTTATCGAGTACAATTCCTGTCTGCAATCATTGATTAAGCTTATTTATCATTAACCTCTCAGATTACGAAGACGAGTCAATCACCAAAATCAGTTAATGTACTTATATTTACACATGTGCATTTAGATATTACCATAAAATTAGTCAAAATTTAATTAAACAAGCATCAATATATGATCAGCACACCAAAAATTCAGCTTAAAATATTTTTTCCCGCCATTTAGAAAATTTTTAGATATTACAATAAAAATGATGGTTAAATTTTTCTGTATTTTAAAAATCCGCGATTAAATTTTGAACTCGCTTATTTCTGTATAGACATAAAGCATATGTAAAACATATTGTATTTACATTCAATCACACGACGATAAGTACACACACAAATAATTATTTTCATGTTTGCGATTATATAAAATTGTTTTGAAAATTAAGTATACTTTATATTTTACTTTCTGCATTTTCGCAACAGATTTTATTCACCTGAAATAATACCGCTACTCTTATCTTCATTTAATTCGGAAATTTCAAGATTTCTATTGACACATAGTGAGATATAGTATGTTTTGCTATCATGAAATGGTAACTGGATCTACTTGAGATTGTACTTTGCGAATTCTCGCACTGTGAATATGAACACGACAATGAGAGGATGAAGAAAACCTTTTATTTATTACAATTAGTTAACAGATGTCAGCTTACTGTGTATTTTATGTGATGTCATTTGACGCTTATTATTAATTGTATTACACTCATGTCCATAAATTAAGGATAATTCGGAGTCACGCGGAAATCGAACTCTAAAATAAATATATCACCTGTAAAATCACTACACACATCTTCAAGAATTATATGCAAATTTCAGGAAGTAACCAGATGACACCGATGGTACGTCACAATGACGAGAGTGATATATAAGGAATACAGGCAAAGAAGTAAAATTGTTCGCAGGCGCTTTATAAGCATTTCCGTGCAATAACCGAATAGTTATGACACAAAAGGCGCATTTGGATGATTTTTTACGTGGTAGAATTATCGGCCGTCTGGAATGTGGGCGTACCCAACTGGAAGTATCACACGAACTTAGAATTGCCCAGAGTGTCATCTCCAGGCTTTGGCAACGATTCCAAGATGATGTTAATGTGAGTAGGCGTTACAGCACGGGTCGCCCCAGGGTTCCGACGCCGAATGAGACCGGTATTTGGCAGTTACTGCCAAATGAAACAGGCGGAGCACAGCCTCCGACCTGTTTCGTCAGCTCTCTTCAGCCACTGGTACGACAATTTCAAGGCAGACCCTGTACAGACGCTTAGGGCAGTTTGGTCTATATGCTCGTACACCTGTCAGATGCGTTCCGCTTACTGCAACTCACTGTCGCGTGCGGTTAGCCTGAAGTAGAGAGCATGCATTGTGGACACCGCAACAATGGGCTTGTGAGATGTTTTCCGACGAGTCGAGGTTTAGGTTGCAGTCTGATTCTCGCCGGATTTTCATATGGAGATCTCCAGGTACCCGTTAGAACCAAGAAAACACCATTGAACGACACCGTTACGGTGGTGCAGGAGTGCTCGTTTCGGGTGGAATTATTCTGGGTTCCAGAACTGAACTGCATGTTCAAATTGGAACCATGACAAGCCAAATCTATCGGGACGTCATTCTGGAACAACATGTACGTCTGTTTCGGGGCGCCATGGGCGCACAATTTGTGTTTATGGATGACAACGCCTGTCCTCACCGTGCAAACACAAACATCGCAAGCGAATGCCTTCAATCGGACTATGTCACCCGTATGAACTGGCCAGGATTCTCACCGAACTTGAATCCAGTAGAGCACGTGTGGGACGTGCTTGGCGGGCGAGTTGCAGCCCGTCAACCTCCTCCTCCATGTCTACCGGAACTTCGAAGAACATCTTTTTGAGCGATGTAATATCTCCCAAGATCAGATCGATAATTTGATACTCAGCATGCCTAGGCGTTGTACGGACTGTATCGCATCATCTGGGAGATATACAATGAATTAACAATCATACCAACCATGTAATATTCGTTTTTTGTAAATAGGTTTTTTTGTAATTTGCTCCAGGAAGAAAAAAATCGCTAATTTTTTTAATAATATCAAACATATAGCATCTTTTTTTGCTCTTTACCTTTTGTTTAATAAATAAGCATTACAAATAAGTCAAATTTGTTTTAATTCTAACTTTTCCTTTGCGTGATTTTGCATTATCCTTAATTTATGGACATGAGTGTATTTTGAAAGTATAAAATGCATGGATTAGTACTGACACATGTTCATACAGAGTAGGTGGCTCCAATTGAGAAAATCTTCTAGATCCCAGCCCCCCTCATAAAGGGAAATTTTCTATGTAAGCTCAGCCCACCAGCGGCCGAGCGGTAAAGTCGCTGAACACTGGTAGTTCGGTCAGAGGTCCGAATCCCGCGAACGGGCTGGCTGCTTGGGCGTATTCGTGGTTTTCCCCATGTGTAACGTGTTTACGAGCCAGTTTCCCTTAGAAAGTCCTCCATGAAGACATCCCTCCTCTTAGGCAGATAGCCCTAGTGTGCTTTGCCATAATTAAATACACCAAACACACACTAATTTATGTAAGCGCGCTAGATTTAAAATCACTTAATAAAATTTGCTACGTTAAGTTAAACGATAATGTAACAATAAATTTAAAGGGGAAAGATGCTAGACTGCACAATTCAATTTAATGTAACAACCTGACTCAGAAACCTACACTGGCAGTATCCTATCCAGATGACCAGAAAGCGTAGCCGCTGCTAAGATTAACAGCTGGAGGATAAACTAACAAACGTGCTCTTTCACTAGCGAAATCATGCTCTGCATAACAATCTTAGTTCCGACAGTTTAAGTACTCTAGTTCACTTACTTCATTTACATCCTGTCGAGGAAATGCGAGAAGAAAAAAGAGAAATAAAGAGAAAGGCTCACAAATTAAAATAACTATTAGTAAAACTAAATAGGACCTCATAAGATACGTTACATAACAATTGTTTAAATTATTTTTCTTTTAGTCTCCAAAATGATGTGCTTTTCAAACACATTTCAAAGTAAAAGAATCACTATATCATTTCTTCAAAAAAACTTATAAAGGAATTCTGGAATTCCAAAAACTTTTATTACTCAAAGTCAAATATTAAGGTGCTTATGTTTTTTTTTTTAAAATGGGATTTAATACATGCTTTTTTTTTTTTTTTTTTTTTTTTTTAGGATTGGTCGAAAAATAACGTTTTTCATCACAATCCTTGTTACAGCTGTAACTGCTATAGCCTCTGTTCTGATGACAAACTTCACCGCATTTGTGGTTATTAAAACCATAAATGGCAGCCTCATGCCGTCTGTGTTCCAGCTTCCGTACATCATAAGTGAGTATTATACCTGCTTTAATTACGTAATAAGTTTAGAATGTATGTATGATAGAATCTTCTGAAGAGAGTTTTAAGGGCCATAAGGCTCAAAACGTTAGTTTAGGAAGAACAGTAACGTAAGAAACGTAATAAAAATTTAAATTAGATGAATAAATAAATAAATATATAAAAATGTAACAGTGCCAAAAAAGGTAATTTGCACATGTTTATAATGATCTATAATACATTTGTGAAGGTGTAGAAAGTATTAAACTTTTTGGGACAAATAATGTGAAAAATCAACACTGGAAGATACTGAGTAAATTCTCAGTATCTGCCAATGTGAGTAAACAACGCAAGAAGAAAACATCGTTTTACAAAACATCATTGGAGGAAAAAAACGCAAAGAGAAAATATCGTAGTCTAATATAGTATAATAGAAAATAAACGTTTTCAAAAACTTCGCAGTTCAAAAACTTCGCAGTTTAAAACATCATCGTAGAAAACATTAGGGTAAAAAATGAGGCCCCTTGAAATAATCGCAGGAATATGATTTTACACTTCAGAAGTTTTTTTAAATGCATAATCGCACTACTAATCCAATTTAAAAAAAAACAAGAGATTATTATCTCTTCAACTTCATAAAAGAGACTAATTAAAGAATGACCTTTAATAATTAACTACATAAATACAAATTTTATTAAATGCTATAAAATATCATTAATTTTCTACTCATTTTCAGTTTCTAAACGCTTAACCCTTCTCCAAGTAGCACGGCAACGTCGCAACGACGTTGCAAACTGGTCGTGGATGTCGTTGCAAAAACGTTACAATATGTCGTTTTTAAGACCCCCAGATGTCTTCGAAACTCCACTGTTTTGTAACTGTTGCAAAAACGTGTTTATTACGTCTTTGCAGATAAGGTTTATGTTGAATAGACGTCGTTACTGCGTCTTTCTCACGTTATATTTTGGTTGTGAAAGCATCGTATCACGAGTCTTAACGACGCCTAAATGTTAGCAGAATTCAACCTTTTTGCCAACAGTTGTGAAAACGTCGTTATTGTTACATATTGATTTATGCAGAAAAATAAGCTTAATGATTAATGTATTTTGCTTCTTTTTTAAAATTTTGTATTCCTTGTATTTTTTAAAGTTTAATTATTTTATCATTACCTGAAAACCAGAAGATAATACAATTTTTTCTCTTTAGACTAAATATGCATTATTTTCAGTATTTTAAACTACATTTTTTAAATAACTTAAATTCTAAGTTACGATTATTTTAGATTTCATTATTTTTTTTCCTTAATCCTTTAGTATGTAAGTGAGAGTAATTATGAAAGTGGTTATTATAAATATATAACAATAATAGTAGGTTTTAAGTAAATGAAACTCAATCAGACATAAATAAAAGTAAAGCTATATATGTGGGTAAAGAAAAGAGTGTTTATGATTATAACAGCATTAGCACATTTATTTCTGTTAAATCTCAGAGACAATGAAAATTTCCCCTGTCGTGATAAATTAGGAAGCGTAAGGTAACATAATCAGTATTTTACCTGAACTCAAGTATAAATTTATTCGCGTTTCATAGTAAAAAATATAACCATTAACTTCTATACCTCCAAGATATGCAAATGAAAGACTGTATAAAGTAGTTAATAAATGTGATAAAAATATTTCATACAAAAATATACCTAAATCTAATAACCAAGAAATACTAAAATTTCTAATTAATTAAAAAATATTTGCGCTTTTTAAATAGTAAGCATTTAAAAGTGCAATAATTATGGATTGCAGTATTTACTAGTAATACTGATGCTTCGCAACACCATTTCTTTCGATCATATGCAAATGTATTTACTTATTATTAGTTTCTACATTTTAGAATAGTGGTAGATTGCAATGATCATTTCATGCACTTTTTATAATCAATAACTAATAATAAGATTGATACTGTACAGAAATAATTTAAATAACATAGTATACGATAGTAAGCTAAATACGTTAAAGTAAGTTAAATAGCACGCGATGAAACTTTTTGTTTTATTATGAATTTCTTTGTTATCACATGCACATAAAATGTAAGCGAAGAAAATAGAATATGCTTAAATTTAATAAAGAATAAAACCTATTTTCCAATATTCATTTATTGAGATAATCTAATAGATATACAATAGCTAACCAAACAACAAGTAATAAAACTGCAATTTGAAATCAATAAAAAATACTTAGTGTTTTTTAATATTACACACTTAAATATCGCATAGTTATAGATTATAATATTTCATAGTAATCCTAATGTTTCATTAACATCGATTTTCCTTAACATCGATTGTTTTTTTGATCATATGCGGAAAGTCTGAGAACCAACCTGTTCGTTTAATATGAGTGATGTATAGCACTTAAGACGTTATACCCCAATCCGTATATCCAAATATTGCACCGCTGGATTTGCTATCACATGCACATAATGCACACATGAACATTGGTGAACACCACCATGTACGTTTAATCACCAGAAACATAAAACACCAAAACATAACACTATTTTAGTGTGGATGATTTTAGCACGTTGCATTGTAGAGCAGATATTCACAAACAAAATAAGCAGAATTTCGGCATTGCCACCATGATTTCTCCTCAACTCCAACTACTCAGAATTTTGATAGCTTCGGCTATATCGTTTTAATTAAGCATTAGTTAAGTCTTATTTCTGGTTACTTTAAGTTCAAGCCCAAATAGAGGCTTTGCTGTACGCCCCGAGAAAGGCGCTATCTGTTTAACTCTTATTTTGAACAATAAAGGGTAATTAACCCTTCCCGTGTTTACGCCTCTGTTCCTGAACTAAAGCGATTATTCGCTTAGCTGTTCATTAGGTTCTTCCACATTTAGTTGTTAGATAAAAGGGTGAAATCCCACAAGTTAATTCAATAACATGAAATTTAGAGGTAAAACATTTCTCATTCTTTCTTGAGTCCAGAATTCATTATGCGAAATTCATTTAAAACTTTTAAAGTTCTAAAAGCACGTCTGTGATATTATCATCATGCGATGATTTTCAGGTGCTTTATTTTTTTAATACTATAACTGTTCTTGTATGAATACAAATGCCGGATAGCTATAAAAGTATTTGTTAAAAGAACACAGGAACAATTACAAAGAAAATATACATATATCTCGGGCAGAACACACAACAAAATGGAACACCTAACATTTAGAATGAACGTTAATTACGCAGACATAATAATGGATATCCTAGCCTCAGCGCAGTTGGAGGTCGACGGATTATAAGTTGATTATGAGGATTGCAATAGGTTGATTCTAATTTGTTCTCTTCGCCACTAGATGGTGTTCGCAAAATAGTTCGGTTATAGCCAAATAGTTCTTTTACAATACGATATTTAAACGATAATGTTTTAAAATGGCGAAGGTTTTGAACCTCTTTATTTTCTATGACAACATTTTATGACAGGATGTTTTATCCCTTGTTTTAAAACACAATTTTTTGAATGACGATGTTTTCCTCTTGGCGTTGTTTTCTCCGTGACGTTCAACTGCAATGTTTTCATCTTGTTTTTTACAAATTATAGTTTTGCCATAGTTCCCATAGCTACTTATTAGCAGTTTATGGGTAATTCCTTACAAAGTTAAGTGTACGTTTTCGGTTTTGGTTAAGTTTACATTTTCGCAAGCCATTATCGAAGGTGCCTGCTTAACACAGATCATATAACTTACTTATTTTCTAAGGTTAGCAGATGCGTGAAAATAATAAAATATATTTGGTTAGTTTTACTAGTTAATTAACTGCCGTAACTAGCATACCACTATCATCAGCATACAACTATAAAAGCGAAATGTTCGGAATCTTTCGTCTTTCGTGTCAGTTGCTGTTGCATCTCCACAAGATGCTCATTTCTTTGATTTAGTGAGTATAATAACTAACTGTATGGTACAACAACAAGTGAAAATACATGTGTTACTATTATTTTTTAAATTAATTCTTTCTTAAATAGAAATAAAATTTTGCGATCTTTTCTAAAAGTTTATGTTCATCATTTTCAAAAATTAAAATTTTGGCACTGTAATTTCTTCCTGTTCATAATGAAACTTCTAGGTGAAAACGGAATAACGAATTCTAGATAAGTAGCTAATCATTTTGTTTTTGATAAATATTAAAACACAACAATTCATAGAAAAAGAAACTGTCAGAGCCTCGAAGAGGCTGGACTTCTGCCTGTTGGTCCGCGGTAGGTACTTTATTTCCTTCCTACCACCCAAGGATAAACCTATGGAGGCATTCCCCGATCCGCCACCTGGAGACGCGCTCTCTAGGGGTTACAGGCTCCCCCCCCCCGTTTTTGGTAATGAGAAGGCCGATGAGCTTGCAAAGGCATCCCGTGATTCTCCTCAGCCATCCACTCCCTAACCCTCATTGATGCCAATGCAGTTGCCAGCCAAAGACTAATCGGTCAAGTTAAGGAAAATTCCATCCCGGAATTGAACTGTGACAGAGCCATATCGACCAAAGAATATCTAAGGAGAAGAAGTAAAGGTTCCCCGGGGCAAATGTGGCTCCGTCAGACCGAAGAGACACATTATGTATATGCCTGAAGCTTATTTTAAAGGGGCAATCCATCCACCCTCCGTACCTCACTGCGCATGTGCGAAATAACATCCAGCATGCATGCCGTCGGCCATATTAGCAATCTTTTACCGCGTTATTCGAAAAGGTTCTTTGTTGTAGTCAGAGGTACTTGGTTCTACTAGTTATGTGAAATTATTTAGAAGACTTTTTAAATGTAATGCTGTAAGTGAAATGGTTTTGGCTATTGGGTGCAAACTTTGCTCTTGGTTTTCATAATGGTCATTCCAAATAATTGTTTAAACGTTTTCATGGTAATTTTTTTTTAAAGTTATTGTCGGATAATTATAATGTATTTCAGTGTTTTCAATTTATTTTGGGGTGCTTTTGATTGTCTTTAATTATTTTTTCTGTTTAAGTTAGTTATATGCAAATTTTGCTTTTAAAATTTCACTGTAAAATTTTAACTATGGATTCCTAAAAATTTATTATGTATTGTATGGCATGTGTTTTTCCCCCTTTTTAAGTTTACACAATTAAATGTTAAGGGAAAGGAAGGTGAAGGGGGGAAAAATAAGGCATATAAAAATATAAAATTTATTCATTTTTTTAATTCATTTTACAATTGAACTTTAGGATGTTCCATGCGAAATAATTAAAGCAAAGAACATAAAAGATCAACTTCACAATTTATTTCATTTAAATTTTGTCTTCGTATGGCTCGCTGTTTAAATTGAAAGTAAAAATTGGATAGGATTCCTATAATTCGCCCAAAATTCCAACTAACAGCATTTTGCTCATAAAACTCAGATATGTATGAAAATAAAACATTTTGAGTTATTTCGAAGTAAAAAATGTACCATCTCCTCGGACGGCGCTATCTAAATTTCACCCTGCGCTGGTGTTTCACTGCATAGCCGTGGGCTCTTCGGTATAGCGGCGCAGAGGCGAAACAGGTTTACATTGCGTCTATGGAAGCTTTCATTCTTCTCCTTAGAGATTCTTTGATATCGACTATCATAACCAGACTTAGGACAAATCGAGCTGTCGAGGTTGCAAAAGCTGTCTTTGATAGCTTCGGAGCTACATAATTGCACTTTGTCATAGACACGACATCATCATCATCATTAAGACACAAAATGCTTAGACCCTATTTCATATCTTCCAATGCAACTTTTAAATTTTGATTTTGGTTTGCTAAGATTTTTAAAGCATTTTTCTTTAGAATTTTACGATGTTTTGGGGGCTTTATGGTTTAATATCTTTCTAGATGTTTATGGCTTTTGATATTTTTTGATGTTTTGATAACAACCAACATGAAAATGAACTTTTATATTTCAGTTCTAGAAATAGTATCTCCAGAAATGAGAACTCGCATGAATGGTGTCGTAAACTGTGCTTGGACATTTGGTTTGTGCTTCCTACCATTAATCGCTTATTTATCCCGAAGTTGGGTCACTCTAGGTGTGGTTACTTCCTCAGTAACTGTAATATATTTGCTTTACTGGAAGTAAGTTTTATTTCAGATTTTTCCTTCAAAGTGTCAAAGTTTATTAGCTTTCGCAAGTTAAGAGTAAATGAATTTCATTATGTTTGAATAACAGAATTTCATAATAGAATTTCATTATGAAACCTTTGTGATAACATATGTTTTTTATTGAAATGACAGACACAAATGTAAGAGTTAAATAATTGCAGACGTAAAGTTATTGAACATATTTTTACAGACTAAATTTTTATTCCTGATTAAAAAAATAATTTTTTGGATTTCCTTCGTCAGAAATTTTTCAAATGCTTCTAGTTATGGAGAAAAGTTGAGTTTCCAGAAATCTTTTTAGGAGATTTTTTAAGATGAATTTCTTAGCAGAGGTTAAAAACGTATGAGTACTTTCTCCATTAATAATCGCGCCTCAGAAAAGCTGCTAAAATCTTATGGCAAACAGTTTGTTTAATAAACATTGTTTTTTAATTTGGAAATCTTCCAATTTATAATCATATTTAGCAGTTTGCACCAGAGTAGATCTCCGGCCATGGCGTAAACCAAAAGGGGTGCTTGAAGCAGCAGCACAATGTTTTTTATCTGTTGTTCTGATTCTTCAAAGTATTAGTAAAGGAAATCTAATGGTAAGACACGACTAAATTTGTCGGCAAATGTCTATTAACATTTTCGGAAGTTAGGAAAAGAAACATATAAATACTCTATTGCCCACCACTGCTGGTCAGAAAATCACATTTTCCATTCGTCACCAATAAAATTTTGTTGCGTGCGTACGCGTTCGTAATAGATTGAATGCATAAGTCTGATAATAGGTTGATAAAATGCATTTTTATCAAAAGGAGTGTTTCCGCAGAAATATTCGTACAAGTGTTCCTAGTATCAGTATCAGCCACAAGCAGTTACACTTTAAACTACTAAGAACGTTAAACACAACGCAATGCAAAGCGCATCTAAAAAGAAATATAATAACTCGGATTTATCTCAGTTCACGTGGAACTACAACTCGCAACCACAATAACTAAAAAAATCAGAGATGTACTAAGTACACAGCACTCTATGTACAAATTTCGTAATAAATTATTCAAAATTTATGGTCCATTGTCGAATTAGATTCTTTGGAGGCGTTTCGCATTCATAAATCTTTCAGTTCTAGTTAACAGTCTCATATCAAATCCCTCTTTGCCCTCAGCTTCTAAGAAGTTTATTTCAAAATAGTTTTTATTGTTAATCAATAGGTGGCGTCAGTAGCTTGGCTGTTAACGTTGAGCATAGGCTTCTCTTTCACCATCGGCCTTTGTCTTTCGCATTGCAGTTGAAAATAAAGGTTCTATATTTAAACTGTTGAAATTAAATATCCTGCACGTATAGGATTATTGCGCTAATTCTTGTTGCCTGAGCCCCTCTTATAATCTAATAACATTGTATTTATCAAGGTTACTACAAGGTTTGCCTTTGTATGACGTCATTAACTCTTAGTCTGCCCAAAAGCAGCTACTCCTTTTCTGGCTTCTTTTTGCCACTTCTGTAAGTAAGTGACGTCACCGTGGAAAGAGCTTAAACTTGTTTGTCTGATGACCTTGGTATATTTAATAAAATGACATAGGTCCATAACTGCTCCTTTCTAGCACAAATATGGAAAAACTGTGATATTAAAATGTTTTTTAACTTGGACTGGACATGCCGGATCTGATATGAATCCATTGCCAATATTTTTAACACATAAACATTAATTACATTAATAACTCTAAATTGCTGAATTATTGAGCTTCTGGTAGTAAGATCTTCAGCACATTCATTTGCTTGAAATATAAAGTTTTATTAACTGCTTTCCAAGTGCAGTTTCACTGTATATTTAAGGCAAATTTTTAATGCAACATAAGTACAAGGTAGTGATAAAAACCTTTATCGAATTGTGAACTCCTAGTGGCCTATCTGCTCAACAAATCGATATGAACTTTCAGATATTCTTATTTGAATGCATGCTCTTGAAATTGTGATTATTTTAATCAATAGAGCAGTCACGGTTACAGTGAAAATATTTCGAAATTTTCGAAAGTTCGCACCCACTTTTTTCCCGCGGAAGTTGATCAGCGTATTGGAAAACTAAATGGCCTTGCAGAGATGCAAGTACGACGAAAATTGCTGGCGTAGAATATTTGCGAAGAAGACAACATTAGAAGAGCAATGAGAACACAAGAGAGGAGAGAGAAATTGAAGTTATATAAAAAAAAAGTTTTCTTCCTGGTAAAAAGTGTCGAGATAGAGCCACCTGTCTGATCTTTGCAGTATCGTGGACACCACGATACCCCAACCTCACTCCGATAGATTTCTGGCTCTGGGGGTATCGTGGACACCGCGATACTCCAACCTCAATTCGATAGATTTCTGGCTCTGGGGGTATTCGATATCTAATTTCGTGGATTTTATATATAAGGTATATATATATATATATATGTGATATTTCGGCATCAAAGTTCAAGCTTGGTTTATGCAGAGTGGTAAGGCTAATCCAAATGAAGAGACAAGTTGATTTAGCTTTTAATGGTACATTTTTATTCCATAGCTTTAATTACTCGTACTTGGTTTAAACTTTATGCGTCATTACTATTTCTAACAAATAGATAGATCAAGCAGCAGCGAGATGTATAGCACAGGAAGAGAAGTGAGCTTCTGACGCAAAATGGCGCACATTCGTTATTTATAGTAGAGGTTACGTAATAGGCTAGCAAATTCTAGAAGGTACTGATCTAGGGAGAAGATCAAAGCCATCGTATTTTTTATATTTTACACATATATATATATAAGGTGTATATATATATATATGTATATATATGTAAAATCCACGAAATTTGTCAGAATTGAAATTGCCACAAAAAAACGTGAAGTTATACGTATACCTCCTGCGATATTACGTTCGCCATTGTTGTCAATAATATCCTGCATTCAATGCATTGTCATCTGCGACAATTTGAAAACTTGTAATTCAAATAAAACTTTTTACCTCTCCTCTCTTGTGTTGTCATTGAGACTCTACAATGCTCTTCTTTGCAAATGTTTTTTGCGCCGGCAGTTTTCACGATGCGTGTATCATTCCGATGCCATTTATGATTTTTCATGCCGTTTATAATTTTTATTTACGGTATTCTGATCAATTTGCACAGGAAGAAAGTGGGTGCTGCCATTCGAAAATTTCGAAATGTTTCCACTGTAACCGTAATTGTGAGAGGTCTATTATTTTAAAACTTCGTAGTCTCGGGGGCATTTAAGTAACAGTATCTAAAATTTCATTTCGATTGATTGACTGGGTAGCCGGTACTATTATGGTAACTGTACTTTGATGACAACCGTGTACTTCAAGTGAGGATTCTAAATGGAAATTATTTAGAGTTTTGTAATGAGATTCTTAAAAAATCAGAAAATTGTTTCAATTTACATAAAGATTTGTTCTATTAGAGGAATTTTGCTCAAGGTACGTTTCTGAAATATGCTTCATTTGTCCTCAAGTATCTGTTTTGGCAGAACAGTTCTTACATAGCAAAACAATGATTGCATAGTTGAGTTTTGATACAGAAGTAACTGTTGTTTTCAGATACCTTCCAGAATCTCCTCGATGGCTAGTTTCTCAAGAAAGGTACGAAGAAGCCGTGGTCATCATGCAGAGAATTGGTAAAAAAAATGAAAAAGTTGAAGACAAGAATGTTCTTTTGAATAAGTTACAGGTATTTATTTCATCTGTGCTATAATTTTACAAATCCTCAAATATGAGACAATTTTTCATTCATAAATGTTGATTTTTTTTTGCTAAGCTAAACTATCTTGCTAATTTTAGGAAATTTAATTCTTAATATGACACAAAATTATTATTATTATTAGCATAAAGGTTGCAACATATGTGCTTAATCTACAATAGAAATATTCCAAAAATACACCTAATACGTGATTTAAAATAAATAAAATGAATAATAAGAATGTATGATTAATAAACCAATCTTCAAGTACCCTTTTCTTTGGTGCAATGGAGAGAACAAAAGATGTTCTTGGAAATGTTTAAACACAGGATTATTGTTAAAGGTACCACGCTTATTAGAGACTGACGAACTTAAATTTTTCATTGATTTTGAATTCTGCCAATGCTAAGACAGTGCTAAGTTGAAAATATTTTAGTAGCATAAAAATAAGTGATAAAAAGAAGAATATTTCCATCTTATCTGCATTTTAGATTAAAATTTTTGCATACAGAATACTTTCGATTATCAAACCCCAAGTCATTGTTGAATCGAAACTGTCCATCAAGATGCCACAGAGGACGTTATCTCTTTTTATTTGCCACAAATCATAAAAAATTGTTACTTTGATTTAATTCCCCTGCTTCACATAGATTAACAATCCTTAATTCTATACTTAACCTGGGATTTGCGTTCAGACTGATGTACATGCTAATTGCTTTTACTATCCATCATCCTAACCTGATGCTGGGGAAGAGACAGTACACCTGTTAAGTCAGGTATTCCTAAAGGAGATATTCCTTTCTGACAGAATTTCATGGTTCTCCTGTGGCCTATAGACCCCAGCGATAGGTGAAATTTTAAAGCGGTATATGATTGTCAAAGATTCGATAGCCAAATATGCACCGGCAACTGATCAGCATAATTAAGATTGAATTGATTATAAAATATGTCAGTAAAACTGATAATTAATTGTTATTGATATAAATCATTAATAGTCAAACTTCACACAGGCAAGAGCTGCGCGTTCGAAGTCAGGAAAGTTCGAGAGCAGCAACTAGATCTTCAAAAAGCCGCAAGTCTAAATTTAGATTGTATTAAAAATAGTGAAACAGGTTTCAAGTGGAAAGAAGCGTCTCATTTTAAACAAACATTCAGCGACAATCGCCCTTCAGTATGTGATGACTTTGTTTGGACATTGAGTAGTTTTAGTTTACCATATTTCATACATCTAATTTTATTTGCATAAGAGGCGTACCACTCGCCTGAGGAAGCAGCATTCGACTCGCAAGCGGTTGCTAACAACTTTATTCACTTTCTCTCTTCTTACCTAGTGGAACGACGTTTAACCAAGTCAATAACTTACTACAAGGAACAAGAAACAGACTGAATATTTCTGAACTAGGTGATTAAAAACTGAACTAAGTAATTTTGTTCCAAATATTGAAAACAGTTGCATCAGTTCATCGAGCGCAGCTATCGCATTCATTAAACTCAAATTTTCGGGTAATAAATAAATTGTGTCTGAAAACTTGTTTATATTTGCAAAATTAAAAATAAAAATAATACAAAAAAGTGAGAAATTATTAAGCCTAATCAACCGTTCTTTTTCAAAACTTTTATTCTTACTGTTAGTCAGATTGCTATATTTTAAGTTATTTATGCGCAATTATTCTTTTTAAATGGGTCGATGCAAGAAAAAGGTTGGGAATCTCAGTCCCCTACAATGCATAAATGATGAAATGGAACGTAGAATTTACGTTCCGGATTGAAAATGTCATCCCCTAAACTTTTTCTGACAGACTTACTTAAGAAATGGCGACAAATCCTATTAAGAACTCGAAGCTGGAATAAAAGCAGGCTTATAAAATCTAAGAAGGAATTTATGCTTAAGATCATTCAGCAGGACAGGACAGGACAAGAACAAGTACAGGGGGCACCACGCCATCGCCATTGACAAAAATGGTATAGCCCCCATGCACTACTTCTCTAGCGTACCGCCCCTTCCATAGGGGACCTGATTACGGTATACATAGGACATAGTACTAACAACAAATAAGACATAGCACATCATACTGTTACAACATACTTCGACACATAAGACATAGCATTAACATATTGTTACAGATTATTTACAGTGCAAGAAGTTATGTTCATTATAGAGCTTGTTGGTTTTGGCACCGCCTCTTCCGCAGGGGACCTGATTACAGTAAACATAGGACATAGCACTAACAACGTATAGGACATAGCGCAACATACTGTTACAACATACTTCAACACATAGGACATAGCATTATCAAGATCATTCAGCAGCACGTTGGTTCTTGTAAATAAATATAAGGTACCGTTTTCAAGCTGCACGCTGTATTTTTGGAGGGCAATACAAGGTTCTAGCGGATGTATAAATTGAAACAGAGAGCCTACCTTCGATTTTTTTTTTCTGTTCAAGCAGTTACTGCGTGCATTTACTACTTACCGAATAAATGCCAAAGTTACACTCTGCATAAGAACTGTATCTTGATCTGATCAAGACAAGAATTTCAGAATTAATCGTATATAAATATTACATATAATAGTTATATACTTGCTATGTTAACATAAATTTATCATTTGGATCAAAAGTGTTTCTGTCTATTCTGGATACGGAGAAATCAACACTCTAACAATCTAGCAACAAATCAACACTCTAGCAATAGGTGCCAAATTGCTAATCAGTTTTTAAAAGAAAAATAATTTCTTAATCACAAATTATTCCAAAATCTCTGACTATTAAACCTACAGGAAAACATTGAAGAAATCACAAACGAGGTATAGGTAAGATAAAAACTTTAAGGTAGTAGATACTGAAAGCAGTTACACTTTTCAATTTTGGCAAAATTTTACAACAATACATAAATAAAGTTTATACTTCAAATGCTAAAGCAAATTTTTTGCTGCCCTGATCACGTCGTCTTTTCAGATGAATCTAGGCTGCTTACAGCAGTGGTGCCCAACCTTTGGCCTATCGCGAGCACATTTCCAAAACATCAACATTTTTGTTAAACATATTTCCAATCTTGTGTGATACATCTGCCATATTAATTTCGGCAAATGGGTTTGAGATGAATAATAATATTAGTTGAACTTTGTGGAAATCAAAGAAGCGGAGTTCAAAATTATTTTTCAGTGCATTTAGGTTTTTCGAGTATTTCTCTGCTTCAATTGCCTTGTGGTTATTAATATAGCTTGATAAATTCTGAAAATGGGTGAAGTTTCTTTCATCTGATTTATCCACAAATTTAACTTTATCTGAAAAGCAGTTACAGTCCCAGTCAATTGAAAAAGGTTTTTTTTCTCCTGGAGATCTTCGTTCAGTTTAGCTGCTATATCCGTGAGGAAATACAGATCGGATAACCAATTATTATCGTCCAATTCTTTATAATTTTCGTTTCTGGATTCCAAAAACTGCTTTATTGACGAAAGAAGTTCTACAAATCGTTGAAGTACTCTTTCCCTGCTGTGCCATCTAACATCGGAATGAAGCAGTAAGATTCCATGTTCGCTATCAAGTCCATCAGTCAGCAATCGATTATTTTATAACGTCTTGCCAGATATCTCTTATGACTATAAATGCTTATCATATTTTAACAATTAAGAAATATAAATGAATGGTTACTTTTAAAAATATTTTTTGTTCATAGTACCTAATCGGGCTGGCGAGCACATACAAAACGATCCGCGAGCACACTTGTGCTCGCGTTGCAAGGTTGGGCACCGCTGGCTTACAGCATCATTTGAATGTATCTGTGTGTGGAGGCACTGAGAAGAACGAACATTGCCAACTTATTTTCGTCATCGTCATCCATGTCCAGCACCTGGCTTTCTGGTCTTTGGTGCCATTGGGTACACATCCTATCTATTTTTTTGTTTCCATAGCCAATAATGTGGACCTCAGAAGTTACATTTCTGACCTGTTAAGACACGTGGCTGTGTCTTATCTTCGAGGTCTGCGTGACAACTTCTTTCAAAAAGATGATACACGATCTCATGTTGCTTATACTGTCCTAAACTTCCTCGATACGGAGGGTGTCCGAGGGCTAGCTTGGCCCTCACGTCCTCCAGATCTCTCACCCATCTGGCCATGGCTTGCCGTGAGACTGTAATGCCACCACTTGCCAGCCACTATAGTTGATGAATTCTGACACAGAGACGAAGCCGCGTGGAAGTACCTCTATTTGTCATCTCAGCTCAGTTCGACTCAATACCCAACCGAATTACAACTGTTTTTGATACTAGAGGTGATAACTCTGAGTACATAATTCTGCATGCTGTGCAAACTTGAAATTTAATCACATCTTTTTCTGATTACACAGTACAGTTACAAGAGATAAGATCTGCTTCCTTCATCAATTTTAGTGGACAGTAGCAGAAACTCTGGAATTAAGTCCTGTTATGTATTTAATTAAAGTGATGTATTGTTTATTGTTTTTTTATTTATATTATTGCTTTTGAAGATGCATTATCGTGACATAATAAAAATCTTAATAATGGGAATACATTTTATTTAGAAATTGGGAGAGAAGATCAAGAAAGAAAAGCAAGTAGACGGAGTGAAAAATTCTTCATCAGATCTCTTGAAATATCCTCAACTTCGAAAAAAATTTATCATTATAACGTTTTGCTGGTAAATTGTATTTTTGTATTTCTTAACAGAATTTTATTTTTGATTTTTTGATGAAAAACGGAAATCTAAAATACCTTGGCATGAATATTAGACAACACCTTGTATAAAACAAAATACGAAGAAAAAGGCTAGCTTACATACAAGAGCTTGACAATTTAAAAGTATTTGCACGAATGAAAACTAAATAACTTACTATGGTGTGGTGTAAAAATAAGTAAAAGTGGTTTCTTTTACATCGAAAAGAAACATTCCGATAATAATAGGAATGAGAAAAATTTGTAACTTAAATTGATATTCGTTTTATAGTAATATTTCATTCGTAGAGATTTTACATAACAACAGCGTTAACTTTTGTAGAATTTTATAATACATATTTTTCTAATGTAAAGTTAAAAAATATATCATAAATTATTGGTAATAGTTCACTTTTTAAATGGTGGTTTTTGCATGTAAGATGGTTGTTTTGTTCAAGTAGGCATTTTACGGATACTTTCGAGTCTATAGGATATTTATTTATCATTTTTCTGTACATTAAAGTCTTCAGAATAAAATTAACTCAAAAGTATATATCCCACTAAATCCATCTAGCGATTGGACGAATAAAATCTGTGAGCAAAATTGGTAGTCTAATTTGCAGTTTTTGTAAGATAACTGGCTCTTATAAGAGCATCTTGTAGGATACTGACGAGTAAACTGAAGAGTAGTAAGCTTCTGTGAAATTCTCCTTCGATATGTCGACTCTGACACTCATCCAAAGCACTCAGCTGTAGATTACTTTATTGAATCATACTTCATCGTTCGCGATCTACATCATCATCAAAGAGTGGTACAATGGCTTTTACAGTGGTAAAACAGTGGAGTACGATCTGCAATGGAGTTTACATAGGTAGCCGTATCCAAAATTTCACGTGCATGACCTAAAACCTTTATGTTATACAGAGTCCACAAAAGTACTTATTGGGGTTTTATTTTCGCAGCCACCACTTACAAAAATATTTGAAATATCATGTTTTGGCTTTTTTACATTTTCAAAAATCAATTTAATGAAAATTACAGTATTTAACTTTATATACAGTCTCTTGTTTCTTATACTAATATTTAGGGAAAAATTCTGTTCGTTATTAAAAAACCAGATATTTGACGATTCACTACAACAAAAATTTATATATATATATATGTGATGTACCAGCTTAGGTCAGGAATAAATAGATTGTTGAAGAATCATCAATGTAGTCGTAGCTTAAATTATCAGACGATAGTTTTAAAAAACAGGATCCATTTATTATATTTCAGGAGAAAATAGCAATTACAAAAATCTGATCTCCGGAGTAAAATAAAAAAGAACTACTAATAATATTTTGTATGAAGGTTTACTGCATCGTGACATTTAAGAAAAAGCCCCGATATTCCTTTTGCGAGTCTTTTTTATAGCCTCTGGAAAGGCGGAGTTTCCAAGAAATGACGTCAGCCTCGTCAGCCAATCCAGTTCGCTTTAAATATCTCGAGAACATTCTAAAACTGTACGTGTAGAAAAGGCGGGAAAAACAACGTGACTACGGGGCTGTGGATTTAATTCCACGTACTTTCAAATAAGAGAACGTCACCATTAAAAATGAAAAGAACATACAGTTAGAAATTTAAGTGTACTCTTGACTATGGAATTTTATTATTACAAATATATATATATATATTATTTCAAAATTTGGGATATTTAACATCAGTTTCGATATCAGTTTAATAAATAAAATTAGAATAATCAATGCTGAATTTTTCCTTAAATGCCGTTCAATGATACTCTTTTATGATTTACTAGTGACTAACATCTTTGAATTCATAATTTTATTACAACTGGTGTGCAGACACAAGTAATTATCAGTTTTCAAACGCTAAAAATGCGTTACTAATATTCTCATGGAGGTTTATTATTTTAGAACAAATTTTCCCAAAGTTTTCTCGTTCTGTATACCATACATATAAAAGAAATATTTTTCAATTTTTAATGTTACAAAAAAGACTCAAAAAATTAATTCTTTAAAACAGAAAATACAAAAAAAATTTAAAAACCTTTTTCAATGACTAATGACTTCAAGGCCTTGATTTTTACAGGTATAAAAGCGATCGTTAAGTAACAAATAAAATTTGACTTGTTATTTCACTCTTTTGACTAGAAAAAGTTTCCATCCTAGTAGATAATTGCAGTATTCATTTTTTAAAAAGCAAACAGCATCTGAGGATTAAAAGTATTACCCTTATAAGTAAAATTTTTGTATTTCTTACCAATTTCCAGAGTAAAATAAAATTTAAAAAAAAAAAAAGAAAGAAAAAAAAAAAGAAAAAAAAAAAACAGAAAGAAAGTCCGAAGAAAACCAGAATTCTGGAAATGATAAATTGATACTGAAACACTTCTTTACTACTGAGCACAGAACAGAAATATTACCTGAAATGCATTCCACGTGTATTTCGTTGTATTAACTACTATCTCGTGTGGGCAGCACATCCCCGATGTATGAACTTCAAGCAGCCTATCCGCTCAACCAATCGAAATGAAATTTCAGGTATTGTTATTTGAAGGTATGCGCTCGAGATTATTAGCATTTTAAAACAATGGAGCTTTCACAGTTAAGGTTGGAGTGAAAATATTTCTAACGTTTCGAACGGCAATACCTCTTTTTTCCCTGCGAAATTGATCAACGAATCGAAAAACTATAAATGGCGTTGGAATAATATACGTATGACGAAAATTACTAGACTAAAACCTTTGCAAAGAAATAAAGAACCAATGACAGCACAAAGAAGGAGAAGAAGAAAGAAAATTCATTGTAATTACAAGTTTTCAAAGCGATACAGCGTTTCAAGATAGAGTCATCTTCCGCAACTTTGAAGTTTCGAGGCAACCGTCATCTCCCAACCTCACTCCGATGAATTCTGGTTCTGAGGTCATCTAAAAATCTAAGACGTACACCTCAAACCCACAAGATTTGTCAGATTTGAAAGATGCCTTATAAGGTACTTCTCTCCGCCTTCTTAGTGTAGTGGTCAGCATGCTCGACGCGTATTTTTCATCTCTCTCAGCATCGAAAATCTTAATGTGTCTAAAAAGTGAAGCTATATTGACTTCTCCTGCGATGTTGCATTGGTCATTGCTGTCAACAATCTACGTCACGCAATGCATTATGGTCAGCGAAAATGGGCACGTTGAAAACTTGCAATACCAATAAAAGTTTTTTTTTTTTTTTCTTTTTTTTTTCTTCTGGTCTCTTGTGTTGGCATTCGTCCATTACAATACTCTTCTTTGCAAATGTTTTACCCCAGCATTTTTTTAGTCATAGAAGTATAGCTTCAATACCATTTAGGGTTTTTCAACAAACTGATGAGTTTGCCCCGGAAAAATGTGGATATTGCTATTCGACAATTTCGAAATGTTTTTACTGTAACCGTAATCGTGAGAGCTCAATTGTTTTAAATAATCACATTTCCAAGTGAATACCTTCAAATAACAATATCTGAATTTTCATTTCGTTTGGATAAGCATAAAGGCCACTAGAGGTTCGTATATCGGAGAAGTGCTGCCCAAATGGGATAGTGGTTTGTGTCTCTGACTACAGCACCGAATAGTTCGGGTTCAAATCCCAGAGAAGGCATGGATGTTTGTAAATGTATAGTTTCTTTGTGGCATGGGTGGACTCTAATTCTATATGGCGAGTCGAAGGTCCTCTCGTGCGGTTTAGTTGTAGGAGAAGAGGTGTGGGACATTTTCGGGGCCATCCTTCCGGCTGCTTTCTCACAACATTTGGGTGGAAGTGGGCACAATCGTACTGTAAGTCATATGGTGCCCAAGATTCTTGCCAACGACAGGCATAATCTAGTACTCCTTGCATGATAAACTTCGTGGGCTTGTTCTGATGATCAGATCAGAGAACTGAGATTAATCACAAGAACAACAACACATATCGGGGAATTTGTTTGACCACATTGTATATTGCTGAAATGTTCTCACGGGCTTCAAGACATGTTTGGTCTTAACCCGTGAGACTAGCACAGGTCTGACTACACTGGAGTAACTACTGGACTTACACTGGAGTAACTAGCACAGGTCTGACTCTGTCCCATTTCAGTGCAGATTGTCTATGTCTCCTTTATAATATAATGTTTAATAAAACATTTGACCTCACAGCATAATGCCTCATTGAAATACAAAACTGGACAAATGGCATCAGAAGTAGAAAACATGCTTCTGTAGTTATTCTGAATACGAATGAATATTTGACGAAGTAGGATATGTGCTGCAATGAAGAGAAAATAAAAAAGCATTATTATAGAGATTAATTTACATTAGTAGCTTTTAAAAGTTAAAACGATTAATTTATTGGAGTTAAGGGAACGTTAAAACTACTGCACGTATTTTGTTTTTGTTGAAAGGTAAAATATTTCGATTAAAGTATCTTAGAATTTGATTAAGAATAATATTTTTTCTAAGTTGAGTGCTGTACGTCTTCGAGTTCTGGGTCATTAAAAAGACCTTCGCTGTTACAAAATCCGAGGTAATGACCTTAAACTGGCATTCTAAATCGCAATTGTAGACCTGGCAATGGCAATTCTAAATCGCAATTGTAGAAGTGGCAATGATTAAATGCAATTAAAATTCCACAGCTATTGCGATAATGCTAAAAGATCATCATAAAGTTAATTTAGGTTAAATATCCTGCTTGCTTTAATTTCTAATTCAAAAACGCAAACGACTTTTGAGAGGAAATATTTTTTAATCACGTTACCGTTGTTCATTGCGATATGATGAACTGATGAAAGCAATACTTATTTTGTTAAGACGAAGTACATTGCGAAAAAAAAAATGGTTCAGTTCTATATCTCCCGTTCTACTGAACCGATTGACGAAATTCTAATTGCATTTCCAATGTCTCTAAAGCGCGAGTTAGAGTGTATATTAGGTTTATAGTATAGCATTGCTCTAACATAGGTCTTTTAACACAAAATCGAACTTTTTCTGAAATCACATACTATTTTTTTCCATATTTCAATTCTACGACTCAAACTATACCTAGATATTACATTTTATAATTTTTGGGTGAGAAATTTACGGAGAAATTTAAAAATTTATCTTGGCACATTTGTTTCAGCTTGAGGGAAGAATAATTCACTTGGCGAACTTCTTAATTTATAGCAACCAGTTTTCCTTTCCTTTTTTCATTATCCAAAAGGTCATCGTTCATACTTTCAAATAATTTTAACAAATTGCAAAAACCCAATTTTCCTTATTATCGCTTATAATAAAAATCTGATGTGTACACCACATGATTTCCTTGTACGGAATATTAAATTATACGCATTTTTTCATGCATTTCATTTAAACGTATTGGATTGAATTAAATCTACTTCGCCGACAGCGCATAAACCACAATAGAATAAATGTATTCTTTAAAATTCACTCTATTTGTTTACCATAGCGACATTCTGGCGCTAGGTTCACTTAACAGTATTATATTTCGTTCATATTATAACTCAGAATGCACAAAATTTATATCATTTAAAGAATTATCTAATCTTGCTACATGTTCTATTCAAATACTATAATAAAGCTAGAACTATGTATAAAAGAAATTAAACAAACAAAACAAAAAAGAAACAGTTTTTCACAGACGATTGAGTATTTCTCATTCAATTCAGTTTTCACTTCGCGACAAGGCAAAAATACATAAAAACTCAAAATATCTATATTAAAAATTACGAAGTAAATCTTAAACACTTATTTCCTCGAAAAAATTCCAGAAAGGATTAAGCATGATTTAATTCGCAATAAAAAAATGAAGGCGTTATCTTTGTTGTTGCGAAGCTAAGTTTCTCTAGATTGGCAACAAATCGGCTATCCTGCTGTTTCAAATGTAAACAAGAGCAATGGCCGCATCAAAAACATTATTAGGCTTAGCGGCACTAACAATTTTAAAATTGTTGATAATTCTAAAAATATTGCATACAGATTTACTAAAGGCATAAAAACCTTATTTAATTATAATAAGATAAGAACAACATAATTCAATCATTTTTAAAGCAAAAAATGTACAATTTACAAACATATAAGAGTAAAGAAACAGAGATCACTGAGTCGGGTAACAGAGTGGATATATATTTAAATATATTTATATACGTTTGGTGCGGCCGATTGCAACCAAAATATGAGGTGCACATCTACATGTTATAGCTGTCCCTATATACAAAATTTCAACGTTCTGAAGCTACTCGTTTTTGAGTTATGCGAGATACGTACGCACGCACGTACGTACATACGTTCGTACAGACGCCACGAAAATTCTCTTCAGAATTAATTTTAAAGCAGTTTTGTAATTTTTTGGAGGAAAAGAGTGTTTTATTCTGTCCTTACGTACAGATATCACGGAAATACATCGTTAAATTGCATTTGAAAGAGGTCGAAATGGGATATTTTCGTTGAAATATACTGCCGGAAACTTTTCGCGATTACAATACTTCCTTTTTACTTCGTACAAGGAAGTAAAAACGCCCCATTTCAAAATGTGGCGTTCAAAATGTTAAAATTTCAAAATGTTAATTCATTATTAAAAAAAATTTCAAAATGTTAATTCACGTATATCTTAAGAAATTTTGAATAAACATCATCGCCAGGAGCTGAGTCTAATTTTTTGTAGGTATGCTTAGAAATGCATCTACTTTAAGATGATGCAAAACTTTTATTCGTTATAATTAAAATGTTTTTCTAAAAATATATAAAAATTAGTTTAAAATATAAATTAAAAAAGTAAATCATAAAAAATAGGCGAATTTTATTTGGAATGAAACTAAATTTTGAAAAATGAAAGGAAGCCTCAAATAAGTTTAATAGAAAAGAGATTTTAATAAATATATATCAAACCCAATTAATATTGAGGAGCTAAAATTTTGAGAGATAGTTTTGTAAAAGCTACGAGTGCTATTTTTGCCAAACTTGGTAGTTTGGCATAATTTCAGTCGTAGATTCGATATAGGAAAAAAAAAAATGGTACGTCATTTCAGAAAATATCCGAGCTAGCAGAGATGCCTCATGAAAATATTCAAGATGTCATCTGCTTGGAAAATATTTTACATTTTATCACATATATACGCTATGCAGAAGGATATTCGTAAAAGCTTCCATTCAGCCAGCACTCTCGCTGCTTCGCGAACTGGCATCGAGCTAGTTGTGCCATGATGGGTCAAGCTTCTTCAATATTATGAAATGTTATAAAACTCTTACTGTTTCTGTTTTATCAGAGAATTTTAAGTAATTATAAGAAATCAAATTAGATTTCTGTTTTTTAATATCGTATTTACTGAAAGGGCATGCTTTATTAGTTTGGTATTTTATTAATTATGTTCTAAACATCAATTTCAGACATATTTTAAAATTTGAAACATTTTGCTTGCATAAAAGAAATCAGATTATTTTGAAAGTTTCTCAATAACCATTTTAAACCAGGAACATGTGGATATTTTACTAATGCTATTACCAAAATGGGTTCCTTTTTTTTTGTCGGCATACTTTTTGATAATTTTTAAAAGATTTTTAATACAATATTTTACTTTCACAGGATGGCTGATATCATGGCTTATTATGGTCTCCAGTTAAACGTATCCAACTTAGCGGGCAATGAGTTCGTCAACTTTTTCTTGATGGCTTTGGTTGAAATTCCAGGTTATTTGACAAGCTGGGTGTTTATGGAACGTATTGGAAGAAGGTGGTGCACTGTTGGCGGTTTCATCCTCACGGGGCTCATATGTATGTTACCTTCCGTAGGTAAGGACTTTCGAATTTCTATATGTTCAAAATTAGCTTTCTGGTTATTTGGTACTTAAATGACTTTTAAAAACTGTTGTGATATATGATTATCTTCTCCGTACATATATTACTTCGGGTATTTTGAGAATTTATTGTTGTTTTCAAAAGAAAAAATAAAATTTCATTTTAACATATAATGTGATGATGACTCATTCTGATTATAATTTTAACATATTTATAGTTTAATTGATATTCTTCAGATAGAGAAAGAAGTATCCGAGTTATAGAATATACTTATTTCGTTCACGTTCTCAACTTCGGTCACGGCGAACCCGATGACTTAGTTTCATCACTTGGCCTCTTGAGTCACTGGATCTTACGCTAAGCGACTTTATAATTTGATAGTACATTAAAAAAATGGGCGCATGGCGCTTTATCTATAAACCAACGTGATCTCAGAAACCGCACCGCTGCCGTTTTTGTCGTAACAAAGAATATGCTACAGCAAAGTTTTGTCATCTTGACGTTAATGCTGTAAGATTTCTTAATGTTAAATTAATCAGTTATCATGATTGAGATCTTTACTGTTATTTCTCCCTTCCGTTTCCTTACCAGAATGTAAATTTAGTTTCAGAGTATTAAGATAAGGCTTTTGCAATGTAACTCAGAGTCAGGCTCTGAGTTACAATTTTGAGTTACTCATTTTGCCTCTCGAAGCCGCGCAACTAGTTCTGCTAGTTCTGATAGATTAGAATTCTTCGGGTTTGCAATATAGCTGCCGATATTTAAATTGTTATACCAGTGAGAAGTTTGAGCCAACTTTGCGTAGTCTTCTATTACCAGTATCAGTTTTAATTTGAATTTTGCCTGTTAATTTAAGTTACTTCGCCAGGAGCTGTGGTTACTTATGTGAGTACGAGAAGTGACATTCATGTTCAAAGTTCTGATTTAATAAAAGGATAATGTTTTACCTTTCGCTAGGTTTTGTCGTTGTCTTTAAACACGGTGATAATTCATTCTACATCTGCACAGGGTTTAGACTTAGTTTACGATACAACGCTCAAGTTATCGCGTTTTTTGAACGCTCAGAGTTTTTTAAACTTTGAAAAAAAGTTAAACGTTTTGATTGAAAACTTTAGAAGGTTAAATTTATTGATATTTGCCAGTGTCCATTAAGAAATGAACACGATTGTCGCAATATCGGTGGAGCTGGAGCACACTGAGGCGGCACTATCAGAAGAATAATTTTTATGAAATTTTAAAAATGCCTTACAATACATCCTGCAAGAGATGGCGCAACCAGAGGTCCAGTCAACTAAAATGCTTTTCATCCCTACTAATAGATGGCGCCACACGACGCCTCATTTGTTCAAAGTTTACTTATTCTACGGACGGCGGCACAGGAGCTTCCGTCGCTAGTAATCTCTGAGTTCTAGCACAGCATGGGCACAAGTACTTCCATATTATTGGATACAACTTACTCGATTCCTCAAACATTTAAAAGTCAAGTATAATATATTGGTAAAGGCCGTTAATGGTCGATTGTTTCTTACTAAGTGATAAGACATAAACATAGACATAGGCGGCGCTAAATGTTCTTCTTCTGGAGAGAATTCGGCTTTCCTTTATTTTTCTCAAATTAGCAATTAAATATTCTTTGTCAACTTACAGTGAAAAATTATATTCAGTATTCAAAAGTTTTAATTATACATTTTACTGATAAAATTTCATGTGTATCTTCTTAATATAGGTATTTTTACTAACACTACTAAATACATACTCTGTTTTTTAGAATTTATTTTCATTATTCCAGATTCGAGAGCTATTTAGATCGCAAATTAGGATTTAAGAAAATTTAGGATAAACCTCATCTCTATAAGATTTCAGTTAAGAGAAGAAATTCAAGTTATTTATTCTTTTCTTCCCCAGAGTTTCCTTACGGAGACGTTGTGTGCTCTTTGATTGGTAAATTCTTTGCAGCAGCTACTTTCATGGCAACATATCAGCAGAGTTCCGAACTTTATCCTACCGTAGTTCGATCCCTAGGCATGGGTATGAGCAGTACTGTTGCTTTCGTAGCCACACTCATTGTGCCTTACCTCGTTTATCTTGTAAGTATTTGTACTTGATGTATGCATGATATGTTACGAAATACTTGTTTTATATTTTATGATGTCAAATATAAGATGCTAGATATGTATCTGCTAAGCAAATTTCGTTTAAGTTAACCAACTAAACGTTAATACATCAGATTTCGGAATAAATTTATTACATGATGCTGAAAGTTACTTAATTTTAGTACATAATGCTGAAGGTCACTTAAAAACTTTCATAAAATATTTCGCAATACATGTTTCTCATAAAAACAAATATATATTAATATTGATGAGGTATTATTTCAAGAATAGAATATGCAGCATGAGTTTGCTGTAAGACTCTTACAACTGCTGATTCATAATATATGTGATAGAAAACTTGATAGAAATGCAAAGAACAGTTTTAATGAGCTGTAATTTCAAGCATTGCTTATCAGTTCATACTGTTTTTGCCAAAAAAGATTGTAAATTAGATTTAAAACGGATTCAGAGCAGATTTGTTTTATGGCGCTTTTACGTACGTACGTACGTATGTATCTTGCATAACTCAAAAACGAGTAGCAGTAGAACGTTGACATTTTGCATATGAGACTGCTGTAACATACAGTTGTTTTTTAGCTCCCTATTTCGTTGCAATCGATGCACAAAACATATGTATGCCACTCTGTTACCCTGCTCGGTGAATTCAAATTTTTATTCTTATATATTGGTAAATTATGCATTTTTTGCCGTAAAAAGTTTTGAATAATGTTGTTCTCAAGTTCTGATTCAGATTTTCATGCCTTTTTAGTTAATCTGTACACAACAGGTGCAGAGTTATCAATAATTTTAATGATTAAATGGTGCTAAGCCTAATGAGGTCGCCATTTGTTTACACCTGAAACTCTTAGGAGAATAGTGAAGTCAGTTAGTGCACCAATTTTAGTGTCTTTTTGCCCAGCGTGACTGACAAATTTCAATTTAATGCACCGAAAATTTTATCTTCTTCTACGCTGGCCTAATTGCTTGTTTTGGCGTAGAAATTACAATTTTAATTGTAAAACTTTTTAAAACTGTTCTTCCTGTATTTGATGTCTCAGGCTTTTCTGTATTTTACAATTTTTATGAAGACTGAGTTTTTATGTATTTTTGCCTTGTCAGGAAATGAGAACTGAATGATTGATATAGAAATATATCTCTAATGAAATTCGAGGAGATAAGTTTAAATGAAGTGCAGCAAAAAATGTTTATAACTTAATAGGCCGCACAAGGAGGTCATGTGGTGTCCAAATCAGATACTTTTTCTAATAAGAAAAGCAAAACGTTTTTTGTACAACTTTTATTTGTTAAGTATTTCGAATAAAAGCTTTTTTAGTGGCAATCTTTCTATATTTTTTCAAAATAACAATTGTACTTTTCACGAATGAACGTCTTTTAAGTATAAGCCTTATTATGACCCTTTTTTTATACTTTGCCTAAAGAGCATTTATCTTTCTATGGAATGCGTAGGTATTATATAGAGTGCCTAAGTAAAGTATACAATAACTCTTAAATTTCATACTTTGCTTACAAACGCCGGCATTTTAAAAAATACTTAGGTTTTTGTGTCATATCAATGTCATCTTCGTCTGAGAATTTAAAATAATAGCTAAACAATTTTATTACGCAATTTAAAGATCAATTATTTCTTGGAATACTAAGGTGAAGTTTGAAACGTATAAGAAACACGTGCTGAAATAAATTATTTCAAAAAATAAGTATTGCTTTACATTTAGAGCTACCAAACTTGGTGCAGAATTAGATTTAGAACAGTAATTAGAAAACTCAATCTCAGATTGTTCTAAATTGAAGAAAATATTTTATGCATTTCGAAAGATGATTTAAAATATGGATACTACTGTGTATTTTTGACGAATGAAGGGTTTCTTTATTTGCTGTGTAAATATTGAAGAATATTGTTGTTTTAATACGACAGACGAACATCAATTAATCTTAGAAAATATTTACTAAAATAATTATCTCCAAATTTATGTCGAGCTTTGCTCAGTTTTGAAAATGGATACTATTGTATCGCTTTAAATTTACGTTTCGTAGAATGGCAACGGAAATATTGTTTACTTGGAATGTTCTAGCGGCTGAGTTCTAAATGTGGAATAAAGGTGTGAGACTGTTCTAACTTCGTTTCATATTTTCTCTTTAGCCAAACACCGTAGTAATTAAAATCAGCAATTTTTTTCAAATCAGCAAAAATTTTAGAGATTAGGCTGATTTGTTTTCATAGACTGGCAAGGTAATACTCCCGAATAAAAATTTTGTTTTTATAACAAATTTTGTCACGGATGAACATCTTGTTTTTGTTAAAAATTTTTGACATTTTGAGATTTTGTTTATTCTAATAAACCGCAATAACATTTTTAGAAATTTCAAAAAAAAAAAAAAAAGAGATACAGTTCGAAAGAAGGAAATGAAAATGGAAGAGATACTGATTGAGATATAAATTTTGTTTAAGCGTAATGTTAAGATAACATTTAAAGTCTCCGTAAAGTCATTATTCCCCAGTCAAACAACTGAAATTTCATTGGAAATAAATATAATATAATTCAATTAAAATAATAGCATAATAAAAGAAATAGGTAATTTAAATCTTTTCAACTTTCACTGTTCCTAATTTCGCAGTTTATCAGGATCTAAACACCTAATTGAAATTCTTAAAATGCAATCAATTAAAAATTAAGTTCAGATTAACAATCAATTTAATTTTTTTATAATTAATTTAAGAACACTTAACCAATTTAATCGACAAAATAAATACGTAATAATATTTAACAGCTATTTAAGCATAACTAATGGTATATTTGGTATTGAAATGCGCTCTCTATTCAGCCATACGCTTTTTTCGAATTTTAAGTTTCAAAATTATTCTCACAAATGTTACCAGATGGCAGCACTACAGCATGAGCGGAACGCGCTATAAATTATTTAGGTTAAAGTGATATGCCTCAAACAAAACGCGATGAAAACTGGAGCAATTCAGTGGTTTTAGTACTCAGTGGTTAAAAATTACCTATAATGTTCTTTTCTATCATTCCTTTTGTAAAATAATATGCAAAAACTGTGTATAAAATGCAGCGTACTATTGATTATCTAGGTGCGGATTATCCGTATATGGTGGTGCCATGCACGCATAACGCTATGCTCGTGACAGTTAAAAAAACAAATGCGTACAAATCCGAGCGTGCTCTAAAAACCGCTGAATTGCGTCTTATTGTTCTATTTCAACTACTTGAATATGCTTTATTTTCATAACTCTTGCTATGGATGGTGACGATTTAATGAAGTTCTGGAAAAAGTTGATCGTATTGCATGCCATATACAGAGTAGCAAAAGCTTGGTCGAAAGTACAACCGATAACACTGGTTAGACCACGTAGAAAATTTCTTCGTGATGTGGAAATTGAAGATTTATCTAATTGGTCAAGAAGTTGAGGCAATCACTCGAGTAGTATGACAAAAAACTGAAAATGTAGAATACTTCTAAAATGCCGATCGGAGAAACATCAAGGAAAATTTGAAAATTTCGATAGCTGATCTACCGAGCCAGGATTTCAGTGCTTAAGTGATGCAGGTATCTTTTCAAATGTCACAAGAATCGAAGAGGGCCAGGAGGGATTCTGGAAATACAAGAGAGGAAGATACTAAAAATTAGATTAGTTCCAAGACATCTAATGATGCTCTGTTGGACTTCATCGACTGAATGTAGATCAAGTCGATGAGGTCGAAAAAGACGATGAAGTGTTATTTTAGCATCGAATACAATGCTATTATAGCACTTCGAAAAGTATGCATTTACGCAAAATACGCATAAATATATAAACATTCTCAAAAACAGAGTAACTGAATTTTTTAAGAAATACTCACATATAATACGCAGGAAAAATTTTACCGCCATTAGCCAAAGAATACACTATGCATGCATATTAATGGAATTATTTTTAAGTATATGTTTTAAAAACGCTATCGACACCTGATATATTTACAAGCAAAAATTAGTTTCTTTACAACATAAAATGCTCAACTTGAAATTCAGTAACATTTTTCATTTAGTATGTTCATTCAAGTTCTAACGAAATGAGAAGTTGCTAAAAATTTATATGAATTACGAGCAATTTAGTTTAAAAATTTTGAACATTAGTCTTAGATTCAATTTCCATTTAAAAAAAACACCTTCATCCAGTTTAGACGTATATATAGAATTTCTTCAATAAGACTTATTTCAATACAATTAAGTTATTATGGAAACTCTCCCATATTTTTGATCCAGCACATCGTAAAGAAGAGAGTTCGGGTACAAAACAGAAATCCTATTTTCAATTATGATCACGAATATGTTTAGATAAAATAACACTCCGAACAAGTATTAATTTACAAGTCAAACAAATGATTGAAATATGCAAGTGTTCAATAAGTTCATTTGAGCTTCGATAGCTGAGGATGATGGTTCGGTAAAACCACTGAAAGTAGTCTTGTAAAAATTTCTAAATATAACGCTGATTTTTGTTGTTTGACTTATATATTGTATGACTTATAAATTAATACAAGAATATGATTTTATCGCATAGCTTAATTTGGAAACTTTTAATTGGTTATTATTATTATTTACGTTTCCGCCCTAAGACGCTATGTGGAAGAGAGGTATGCCTTTGTGGAGAGCACTTATCTTTTAATTCTGTGGGTGTGCCCAAAGTGGGTACACTAATTGAATAGAGCTTCGAAAAGAGTGCTGAAACGAGCATTTTTGTCAATGACTTGACCCATGAGATGCGGAGAAACAAAGAATACACTCTTAGTTGTCCTAGATTATCGGTGAGCCCGGTCGCATATTTCACAAATGCACATCTGTGTAGCCACCGAAGGAGTGGTTTGTAGGATGGACCATTGGGCATCCAGTAATATTTCTGTCATGTCACATGACCTTTCGCGTGCTTTAAGATTTAAGCAAGATGGTTGAAAATATTCTGCCACGCAATTTTCTGTACAAAATAATTAAAGCATCGTCGATTTCTTCTGAAA